TTAAGTACAAAAATAAAGAATAAACTGTAAAGTGAAATAATTTAAGTTTTCAAGAATTGTTAGGGTTTATATTTTTGAAAAAAATAAAATATAATTTATGCCTGATAATGATACTAAACTGAATTTAGTCGATAAGTTTAAGTTCAAATCTCCGTAGCCTTCATCATTATAAGGCAATCTCATTATTTAATTGCCTAAATAAGATTCGTTTATTCTATTTTTGAGTGATTTTTTTTTACCTATTTGAAAATTTAGAAAATAAAAATAATAAAAGTTTATAACGTGTAAATTATAAAGTTTTATGAAAGAGTCAAGCTAATTTAATTAATATAGAGTTTTCTTAAAACGTATCTTGATTTAAGTAAAGTATTATGTAAAAAAAATTAGCTTTAATCATTCTGTTAGTTCAATTAAAGTGGTTCTTAATGATAAAATATAAATTTTTTACGTTCTAAAATTGTATTAAAAACAGAACATTTGTCTAATATATCATTAAAAATTTATGTATTTTTTTTAAAACTTTCATACATAAATAATGAATAAAATTTATTTACGAATAATGCTAACAATGATTTTTTAAACTCATTATAAGGATGACTTTCTGATTGAATATTTTGCCAATTATTTTTCTTTAATAATATATAACATTTCCGAAAGAATTTTTTTTGATTATTTTAAAGTCTGCACTTTTAAAAATGAGAAAAAAAACTGAAAATGGAAAATGGAACATTCATTCTATACGTGCAGAACACAATCATAAAAAATAAAATAAAATTTTTTTGATACAACAATATTAACATGGGTTTGCAAAAACCTTCAACAATTTTTAGTCGAGCAGTAACATAACTTTTTGTTCAACTTAAAAAACAAAAGAATAAAAGAATATATTCTGATATGGAATAAACAAGATTACAAAATTACACTATATTTTCTTTAAGAATACTTCGATATTCCTCTAAAGATATTATGCAGAAAAATACAAAACGGTTTGTCCATCTGTCACTTTATGGATAACTAAAATCATTTCTTCATCTGAAAGGGGGAGAAACATAAAAAAAAATAAATAAAACAAAATTTTCTTCTAGCGAACCTTCTCTTTTTTTGTTGACCTGTATAAACAGATCAATAAATAAACAAACTAACAAAACTTAAGCACTTATCATAGGAAAGTGAGAATGATTTTCAACTGAAAAAGTAAGAAATCGTGATTATATATATATATATATATATATAAGATGTTTAGGAATAAACTTAGGAACTCATTAAAATGTATATTCGAGTTAGACACAAAATAGAGAAACAGCATTAGCGTTAGAAAACACGAGGAGTAGATCTCACGAATGTGATTACCTGCATTCCTGTTCACAAAAGTTAATCACGAATACTTGTAAGGTCACTAAGAATTTCCTCTTATCTCAAATTCCAATAAAAGATTCATCAATGGAAACCTAATTAGAGAAAACTCCTAAACAACTTTTCTCACATTCTAATCTTGAAAAATCGATTCATTTTTATAAGAATCATCTCCATAATTAAAGAATCCTTCATTTACATTTTTAATCTCTCTTGACGAATAAACTATAAATGAAAATAGAATTTAAATTACGAAACTATCATTATTAAATAGATTGCATTTATAAATTTTAAATCAGTTTTAAAACACACAAAACATTTTTAATCTTTCTTGATCAAAGAGGTTTGAAATTCAATTTCTACTTATAAATATTAAAATACATCTTAATAAATCCTTTAGTTTAGGAGATTTTAATACGACGAATTTAACAATTCTTAACTTTAATCCATATTTTATATTCTTGTTTGTGTTGGTTATCTGAATAAATCCAAAAATATTAGAATAATGTTTAATACCCGAGTAAATAATTAATAATTATTATATATTTATTTTTTTAACTAAAAGTAATGTTACAGAAAGTTTACTCCCTGAAGTATCATTAAATTAACTTGATCTTAAGATATTCATCTATCTTCATTTCGACCTTAAAGATACTTTAATAAGCAAAATAATTCTTTCGAATATTATAAAATAAATGAATATATTTTATTGTTTAATTAATTTGTACTTTTCTAAAGAGAATTTACCTAAATTTGTCTCTCTTACAATTTGTTAATTCTGTAANGGACCGTATTTATATATATATATATATATATATAAGATGTTTAGGAATAAACTTAGGAACTCATTAAAATGTATATTCGAGTTAGACACAAAATAGAGAAACAGCATTAGCGTTAGAAAACACGAGGAGTAGATCTCACGAATGTGATTACCTGCATTCCTGTTCACAAAAGTTAATCACGAATACTTGTAAGGTCACTAAGAATTTCCTCTTATCTCAAATTCCAATAAAAGATTCATCAATGGAAACCTAATTAGAGAAAACTCCTAAACAACTTTTCTCACATTCTAATCTTGAAAAATCGATTCATTTTTATAAGAATCATCTCCATAATTAAAGAATCCTTCATTTACATTTTTAATCTCTCTTGACGAATAAACTATAAATGAAAATAGAATTTAAATTACGAAACTATCATTATTAAATAGATTGCATTTATAAATTTTAAATCAGTTTTAAAACACACAAAACATTTTTAATCTTTCTTGATCAAAGAGGTTTGAAATTCAATTTCTACTTATAAATATTAAAATACATCTTAATAAATCCTTTAGTTTAGGAGATTTTAATACGACGAATTTAACAATTCTTAACTTTAATCCATATTTTATATTCTTGTTTGTGTTGGTTATCTGAATAAATCCAAAAATATTAGAATAATGTTTAATACCCGAGTAAATAATTAATAATTATTATATATTTATTTTTTTTAACTAAAAGTAATGTTACAGAAAGTTTACTCCCTGAAGTATCATTAAATTAACTTCATCTTAAGATATTCATCTATCTTCATTTCGACCTTAAAGATACTTTAATAAGCAAAATAATTCTTTCGAATATTATAAAATAAATGAATATATTTTATTGTTTAATTAATTTGTACTTTTCTAAAGAGAATTTACCTAAATTTGTCTCTCTTACAGTTTGTTAATTCTGTAACTAATTATAACTTAATGAATACATTTTCATTATTTTCAGTCTAAAACTTTTATTCAAATATACATTTAATCAATTCTAATTCATATTTAGTTTAGAGATATTTATTTAAGTAAATTTAATGCTATTACATTACTTTTGATGTAACGTAAAGAAAAATATTAATTAAAATTTAATACTTTATCTCAAGATAAAATTTTTCTCGACTTAGATAAATATTTAATAATGCAACACAATTTACTATATTAATGTTTTTTTGTTTACTTTTTAGAATATAAAATTTAGACTAAAAATGATAAAAACGTTAAACTACTTCAATTTTTAGTTTTAAAACTTGATAAAAATCTAATCTTCGACCATAAAAAAAAATTCTGTTTTTCTTTAATTTTGTTACAAAAATAGAAATCTTCCGTTCCGTAGATTGCATTTATCTAGCCAATTTATGAGTAAAAATATATACAAATATAATTTACTTTAGAAACGAATCAGTTTTCACAAAACAATAAATTCTATAGTGATGAAATTTATCGAAGAACTACAGCATATGCAATGAATGTTATAAACTCAAAATCGAACCATATTGATTTTTGGAGAGAAACTTGAAGCATATTCTAATAATAAATAACAAGTGCAGAATATAAATTTCCTCTCAAACTAAAAGATACTCCATTGAATCATCTCTTGCTTCGATAATGCTGATATTCTGAAAAGTTGATAAATGAACCAGTATTCTTATATCTTCAAAAGATTTGCTAGACAGATGCACATTTCAAGACACAAAAAATTTACTCACAACTTTATTTGTAATGAACTTTTTTAAAATTTAATATCTTTATAAAAGTGACAACATCTTCGGGCAAAGTTGTCNATTTAGATAAGAAAAGTATAAATAATAAATTAAATAAAGCTACTTTTTATAACGATTTTATCCTCGATAAATTTTACAATCCGACTATTGCAAATAAAACTTTACCATTAATAAAAAATGCAACAAATTGCAAATATTACTGCACTCTTTCTAAAATCAGTAATAAAATTTCCTTAAGGATTTTGAAATTAAGTTGTAAAGATTAAATGAGATATAACTATCAATTTTCAACAAGATATATTTATATACTGTATACATGTATATTAATAGTGTGATAATGAATGTATGCTTTTTACATCATTATAACGATCAATCTTCATTGTAACTAAGAGCAGAATTTACATCAATTAAATAAAGATAATGAAAATCGAATTTATAAAATGTATACTTTTTTAAAGAGGAGTAAATGCTTTAAATCGACTCGATCTATAAATTATATACAAATCTTTTGTGTTTATATAGAACAAATATATATTATTGATCGATAATTTTAATTTTAATTTAATAAAACGTTCTTAAAATAAAATATTGTTCTTAATTAATAAAATATTCGACAAGAATTTATAATTAATTATATTCTTAAAATAGATAAACATAATATATAATACTCGTTCTCCCCTAAACATAACGACAAGTCTTCGTATCATGCTGGAGGATATACATATATATATCAAAATGATAATACTGAACCGTATCGTAAAATTATAAGGCTTATGAACAATAGTAAAACACTAGGATGTTCTGTAAGAAGGAATCGTTCTAGCAATTGAATTGATAGCTTCTAGTAGCATTTAACGTGTCTAGACTGGGAAAGCATTCTATCTACACTATTAAAGATTAAAATCGTTAACAATATGTTACATCACTATAAGCCATTAACGAAACTAATTTTATCCACATAGTATTATCTTAAACCTAACAAAGCTTAGAAATTTTAGTTTTTAACTATCTAACCAATTCGGAAACAGCACTGTCCTTCGAATTCGCTAACCCGCCGAGGTATTGAAACAACTTACGCTATCTTAAGATGGTATGAAGTGAACATTTTAGATACATACTTACGACAATAAGTCTATCCTTGTACAATCCAGTAGATTCCACCTTAACCACAACACACACAGGCCTACATGTGTCTAAGACAGACCTCCACTGTGTACTCCCTACTTCCAGCAGGACAGACCAGGGCAATCGATAAGACACTGGATTTCATTCGAACATTGAGCTCCAGCAGACACAGTGAGAGAGAATGCTGTTGTCCACGGCGAATCGCTAGTTATCATAAACATGTCCAGTTGATGGCTCATGAGGATGTGGATAGGGTAAGTTATTATTAACATCCTGTACCTCAATTGCTATAGATTTTCTGATAATGCACTGACAAAATGACTTATAATTTTAACCTATACATATATTTCAATTTATCGGTTTTAAAAGCGAATTCTATTGGTAGAAAACGTTTTCTCGTAGTCTTTTATTTCTAAAACAAAATTCTATATTTTTTTTTATAATAAAACTAGTAAATAAAAAACGCAGCAAAATAAAAATTTTAAAAGTAAACTTAATAAATTATCAAATATATTTGTAATTGTTTTATTCTATAAAAAGTATTATATATTATGAATATAGAGTAAATTATACCTAAATAAGTTATGTATATGATAATTTTTTTATTATAAAATTATAAAATGGATTTAACTTTATATTATTTGGTAAGAAAAAATTCAATTAATACTAAACTTCAAATAGTCATTGACCATTCTCGAATAGGCCTACAAAACATTTTGACGGATGCCAACAGCTTAAAGGACGCAAAATTATTTATTAAAATGTCCTTCTACGGTACTTCAGCAAATCTAATCTTGCCATAACTTCTAGGTAGGCAAATCAAAGTGAGTAAATTCTTCTTTGAATGAACGAAGTTCTTCAACAAACCTTAAGCTTTTATTATAACTTTAATAATTAAATTCATAATAAAAATTATTATGAAAATTTACAATTTTTTTCAGGTTTATAATAATTCGACATTTTATAATTAAATGAGAAGTACTTTTTAAACAAAATCATCATCATCATCATGTTATAGATGATTGATGAGGAAAAACACAGAAGGAAGTGTTTGTTAGAAAATCATCCCGAAATCGGAAATAGATCTACAGGGAACGGAAGTTGACTGAAAGACAGGAAATAGATACGAAGAGAGAAAAGGTGAAGCTGAGATTTACCGTTTCTCTTGCCTGCCATTTGGACTGTTCAAGTTAGCAAATTATCCATTGCGTATCTCAGCGACACACTCTCCGGACGAATAATGCTCTACCTTCAAGACGAATGCATTCGTCAAGTAAATAAAACACTTCTATTTCTTGGATAAACAGAATTTCTCAAAATCTCCCAGATCAGGCAGCCTCTAAAATAAAAAAACAAGAAAAAAAATCAATTTTTAAACGATCAAGCATTCTATTTTTTTTTCTTTCTTTCTTTCGAACGAAAGAGAAAAACAGCGTATATTTTTCTTAATTAAATATAGGGATGGCAGTTTAAATTTGGAAATTTCCGATGCGAAGTGATTTGTTACCCTGTCTATCGTTACATTGTCTACAAAGAAGAAAACTGTAAAGACGGCGGAAGTAATGAAGCTATTCCTTTACATGCACATCTATAAGGAAAGAAATTAATTGTCGTTGTAGGAGAAAAATCAATAAAGACATTCTCATTAACTTTACTTCTCCAAATTTCATCGATTGTCAATTGGAAAACAAAAACCAAAATATTTCGATAGATTTTAAACAATTGCCTTGATTACTAGCCATTCTCTCGTGATAATTTTTACACCGCTTCTTTGAAAAATGAGTTACATCTTTAAGTTTGAATGTGTTTTCTTCTAAAAGATAAGAGTAGTTTTAATTTGTGTTGGTGTTAAACGGAGCACTGACTGTGCAAATAACAGAGGGTCAATCGCTCTGTTTGTTGAGGAACGAAGTGCAAATAGTGCTTCTTGATGAAACTGCTCAATTAAGTAGTTTAGATGTTATTTTTATATATTTCAGACCTTCCATTTTTATTCAAATATATTTTATTTGTTAACTTAAAACGCAAACCATATCTATATTGTAACAAATAGTTAAAAAGTCTGAACTACTCATGTATAAGTGCTAACGAAGTATATGTTATATATTTTAATTAATTAANTACACCAAAAAACTCTCCTGAAGAACCTTCAAAAGGAGCATCGAGTAGTGACTATAGTTTGTTAAAAAATAAAGAAAATCACCAAGAAGAAAAAGAGACTGAAGCTGAACCTGATGATAAAAAAACGAACAAGCATTTCAGGTAAAACGTTAATAATTTGTATATTATTCTGAAAGTAAATATTCTTGAAATTACCATAAAGTAATGTTTTAATTAGTATTAATTTATTCTACACGAATTAAGTTTTAATCGTCATTAATAATAATCATCATTACTATGCTAGAAAATAAAAATTTTACAATTAAAAATAATTATCTGATAAATATCAGTGTAGCATTTCAAATATAATAATTACTAAATTATATAAAATGAATAATTTTATAAAATAATTAAAATGTTTAAATTATAATTTTCCCATTATAGATATTATTAAGGTTTTTAATATGACAATTTTACTATTATTTCTACTATTCAGTTTAATGTATGAGAATGATGATAATCTGTAGTAATTATACTTTTAATTTCAATTTAGAAAAAACCTGATAATTTATCATAGTTATAAATGTATAGAAGTTTAATACTTACTCAACATGTAAACACAAGTACTTTTACAAAAGGAGAATCATGAATCTGAAATAAATTAGAAATAATTATTGTAAATATAGAGTATATTAAAACATCATTATTAATTTGTTGTTATTAAAATTGAATGGAAATAATATAGCACATAAGTAAATACTACAACACAAATGTAAATAATAATTTGATTTAAAAAAAACAGTAAACAGCATAAATTTGTTATTATAAGCAAAGTGTTCCTTCCAGAAATAACACAAACCTCTTTGCTGAATGGAATTCTATTACAGATCTTTTCTAAAAAATTTGATTAATTTGTTTCTATTCGCGAACTATCCTAATGCATTCTCCAGTGACGTGGAAGAACATTTATTGTTTGAAGAGATTTTCCTATCCATGAAATGCCAATGATATCTGATAGGAAAAACGCCGCAGCTAAGTTTATTTTCAAAACCATCTGAAATAATATGATTGATATCGATTACTTTACAGAATCCAATTTCAAAGAAAAATATTAAAAAAGAAGAAAAATAAAAAGATGTGCAAATTTGCTCTGCATATTCATATTTAAAGAAACGTTGGTAATAATATTTTTTTTTTCATTTTTTAAAATGGTTTTCCGTTTAGGAAGTGATACTTTAAACTTAATACTTTTATAATAAATACTTTTCACTTGAGAAAACAGCACTTATTTTTAGTTTCTAAAAGTAGAACACTTATAGCAAATTGCCATTTTTTCTTTAAAGTCGATTTTCTTAAATTGAATTCCGACTTGTTATTGAAACCAGTTTTTTTTTTTAATCGTTAACATAAGCACCTATAGCATTCGTCAAACCATTTGACGATTTTACCCTTGACGTAGAATAGCTTATAATGTAAGAGCGTGCGAATCTTGCCTAGTTACATTTGTCTCTCCCTATCATTAACAGAGCCGCACCGGTATACGACAATTAGTTTCTGAAGAATGATTCCGATGAGAAATAAGGAAAAGTCTGATGTGTCAGACACAATGATATCTCCTTACTTCATCCTCTTCTTTTTGGTAAGATTTTTGATGATAAATTACTTTTTTCCACTTTCGTTTTCGTAATTTACTTTTCAACAACGGAGATTTATTATAAAATTAAATAACCAAACTTTTATTACTTTTCGTAAAATAATTGTTTTAATTCTATTTACAGAAGTAAATAGAATGAAATAGAATATTATTTATTTTCAAAATAACAATTAATATTTAAAAATTTTTATTTTCGTAATTGAAAAATGTATATGTATTATAAAAATTTTTTACAATTATTTTTACAAAATTAAATATTAAAAACTTTTATGTAAATAGCGCAATATAATATCCCATCTTTCATATAAATGTATACAGTGTAAACAACCTGTGTAAATCGGATTCGCAAGGTTTTTTAGTTTGGCAGGTTTCCGTTTTGAACAGATATTTTTTAACACAGAAAATCACATCGTTTAAAGGATTTTTCCTATTTAAGCAGGTTTCCGTTTTATTAAGGTTCCGCTATGAACAAGTTTTACTATATAGAAAAATTTTAAAAATTTAATCAATTTAACCAAATAGTTTTTAAAATATATAACATATTATAATGATTTATTTAATTTTTTAAATAGTAATCATTTAAATAAATGATTATCAAAGTTACATATGTGAAGATTAATTTTTCATCTTCAGCTATGCGATTATTAATAAATTACATTATTATTATTAAAGTTATTATTTTACAGATTAATATCTTACCCTCACGTTGTTCTAAAAGCGAAGAAGAAACATATGTAATAATACAAATTCCATATCGTATGTTAAAACGACTGAATAGTAAATCAATTACAATACAAGTTCCAGATACACCAAAAAACTCTCCTGAAGAACCTTCAAAAGGAGCATCGAGTAGTGACTATAGTTTGTTAAAAAATAAAGAAAATCACCAAGAAGAAAAAGAGACTGAAGCTGAACCTGATGATAAAAAAACGAACAAGCATTTCAGGTAAAACGTTAATAATTTGTATATTATTCTGAAAGTAAATATTCTTGAAATTACCATAAAGTAATGTTTTAATTAGTATTAATTTATTCTACACGAATTAAGTTTTAATCGTCATTAATAATAATCATCATTACTATGCTAGAAAATAAAAATTTTACAATTAAAAATAATTATCTGATAAATATCAGTGTAGCATTTCAAATATAATAATTACTAAATTATATAAAATGAATAATTTTATAAAATAATTAAAATGTTTAAATTATAATTTTCCCATTATAGATATTATTAAGGTTTTTAATATGACAATTCTACTATTATTTCTACTATTCAGTTTAATGTATGAGAATGATGATAATCTGTAGTAATTATACTTTTAATTTCAATTTAGAAAAAACCTGATAATTTATCATAGTTATAAATGTATAGAAGTTTAATACTTACTCAACATGTAAACACAAGTACTTTTACAAAAGGAGAATCATGAATCTGAAATAAATTAGAAATAATTATTGTAAATATAGAGTATATTAAAACATCATTATTAATTTGTTGTTATTAAAATTGAATGGAAATAATATAGCACATAAGTAAATACTACAACACAAATGTAAATAATAATTTGATTTAAAAAAAAACAGTAAACAGCATAAATTTGTTATTATAAGCAAAGTGTTCCTTCCAGAAATAACACAAACCTCTTTGCTGAATGGAATTCTATTACAGATCTTTTCTAAAAAATTTGATTAATTTGTTTCTATTCGCGAACTATCCTAATGCATTCTCCAGTGACGTGGAAGAACATTTATTGTTTGAAGAGATTTTCCTATCCATGAAATGCCAATGATATCTGATAGGAAAAACACCGCAGCTAAGCATTCCAAACCTAATCGGAGTGTATCCATAGGAAGAAAAATCCATTTAAACAATGCAACTTCTAATGCATCACTATAGGTTGATTGCTAAAGGCAGTCATAAACTGCTGCTACTGAGACTTACTTAATAGCATATTTTCTAAAAATCACATTAAATATCTATCTCTCACTTAAGATAATTATTTTTACAATTTAATGAGTGTGTAGACAAAGTGAAAGATAAGAATATTATTGAATATTTCTTATTGTCAGAAAATTAATTTTATTGCTGCAATTCCTCCCTAATTTCTAAATATTTACGATGTTGATATAAAAAAAGGACATTAAAAATTATTTTTATGATAATTATAATGTTTACACTAAAAATCTCAGTCAGTTTAGCTTTATATATAAAATAAATTTTAACATGTAATTACAGAAAATGTCAGTAAATATATTAAATGCATAATAAAAATGACAAAAAAGACAAGAATAATAAACTAAATAGTATTAAAATGTTTGCTTTCAATTTATAGTAATTTAGGTTTTAATGTATGATCTATCAGATAGTTAAAATCACTTAAATGAACAAGTAGGTGCCACTATAACTGATAGTTGGCACCTAGTTATAGTCCTATATTTAAGTGATTTAACTAGATCAAGCTAATTCAAACGTTAAACGAGTAAAGTCGATTTATACAGTACATTACTGAAGAGGTATGTTCTCAACCATTACATCAAATAAGATCTAAAATAAGTAAATAGTAATCTTAAAAATATTCAATTCGTTAAACTAATTTGAAAAAAAAAAATATATTATTTTACAAACTATAAAAAGAATTTTTATTTAAAAATATACAGTAAAACATCGAATTATTAGTTATGTCAATTAATAAATGTTAAAAAGATATTAATCAAGAATTAATTTAAAGATTTGTAAATTATGTAAATATATAAATTATAAGATTGTTAATGAATTAATTTAAAGAATTCATAATTATGTATGCATCATGCATATTGAAGAATACTTGAAAAATTATTTAACATTTACAATAAATGTTTAATTAAAATTATCATTTCATTTCATTGAATTTGTTACATTATACAATAACAATAAACATTATTAAATTTAATAAATATCATCAGATGTTGATCAAATTCGTACGAAATTGTCCGAAAAGCGGCGAATAACAAATGTTTTATAACTAGCGGGCATTGTTAATGTCACTAATGCATAATATGCATTGAAAATATTAATATAAAAGCAATTTAATACGTAATAACTTACAGAAAAGTCAATTTTTTTCAATGAAAATCTAAATTATGTATAACTTGATAAGCTCTGAATTCCACTTTCTCTTTACTTTTTACGGTTGAGTACCAATTTCTAGTGACGAAATCCAATATTATCATGGTTCGACAAAATAAAAATTTATTGTTTTTTTTTTTCTTTCTTTCTTTTCTTAATTCTTATTATTTCAATCTTCACTCATTTATGAAAAGTCAAGTCATTCATAACATATATAAGAAACTTCACATTAAAAGTTTAAAGTAGTTACAGATGGTGCGGCTTTTATTTCGATATAAATTCAATTAAACCAGTTTTATTGTTTAAAATTTTAGTCGCTTTTTTTAATACGTTTTATTATGTTTTTAACTCACTTAAATCCAAAACGAACGAATTTTACCTTTAATTAAATTTCTGAAATTTAATTGTTAATTAATTATTTAAAGGTCGCCATTTTCAAATCGGATCGGATTTGTGTTTTCTGATTGGTTAAATAAGAAATAAATAATTGATTTAATTCTTTTAAGTAGATTTAAATTTGAGTAAAGTAACAAATTAATTAATTATTTGTTTCTTTGTTCATTATTAACTACTTTGTTTTAAGTACTGTACACTTGTTTTTTTTTATATTGACTCTGATTGTATGAAATTTCCGTTTGTTTACGAAAAGGCTCATTAAAATTAAAATTACTCTGTAAATTATTAATTCAGTTATCATTTGGAATAAATAATAAATAATAAAATAGAATATATATTATTTATTATTCCAATCATTTATGAGTCATATCAAAAATTAAGTTGTATTTAGTTTTGATGACTTCAATTCATATTAAATTATTAAATTGTATAATAAAATTTTAATAGCATTTAAATTAATTACTGAATTTTTAAAGTATTGTCATTAGAATGTAAATCACAGGATAATTAATTTGATACGAACGTCGTTAATTGGAAGGCAAAAATTCAAAACAGCGACTTTTAACCCAAATAAAAGTAAGGAATTATTTATCAGAGATAATAAAATTTTCTTTCTGTTTCTTTATAGCTATCTGAATGTATACGGACCAGAGGTTTACGAGTTTGGTTACCGTCAAGGAAATTCGGGTCATTTTATGGAAAGAAAAGAAGCACGAAAGGGTCCAACATCACGTGTAGCTGTCAGATGGGGAGATCATAAATCTGGTTATGGTGAACATTATTGGGACTTTAATCATGGAGAGAAAGAAAACAAAGACGACTAAAGAAGAGATGCAGTCACAAAAACATTTTTTTTTTTTTTTTTGAAGCTTTAAAATTTTGAATTTTTATTGCCTTCAGGAAAATTGTATTATTGTAAGTTTAAAGTATTGGATAATTTTTTTTTTATATTCATTTTTATAAAATAAAGTAATTGTTAATACAAATATTAAAAGTGTTATAAAATTTTAGAATCTGTAAAATTGATATTTTCGCTAAGTAAACTCTTATAAGATTTACTCCTACCTATTTCGTTCGGAGAAAATTTTATGACAAACGCAAATTTCTAAGTGAGGTTAATTGGAACAGAAATTCCAGAGTTAACTCATTAATTGAAATGTAAAAATAAATGCAAGAACTAGCGGTAATGTGATTGAAATTCTAAGTAATACATCTGTTAATGTGAAGAGTACCTCAAGTGCACTACAGGCAGTAATCATCAAATATTAATAAGAGCGAAAGAATAATTTGCTGATGAAGTAGATATAGAAGTTTTAATCTAGATTAGAATATATGCACATGTATATCCATATTTAGATTTTTTTTTGTAATTGTAAGAAGTTTCAAAATATGTCTACTGTATAATTTTAATAATAATAACAACAACAACATTAAGTGCAGAGCCCAAATGGTTAAGAGTTGAAAATTGAAATTTAGTACACAGTTAGGCTATGTCATGAGAATGTAGACAAAGAACAGACTTTCTGAAATTTCCTCCACAGAGGAGAGGGAGAAAGTAAAAGATTAATCTGAATTCAGATTTTACTGTACTCTTTTAAATGCAGTTTTTTGCAAGATATCAAACATGTTTTCAGACCCATCTAAAAATTCTCTAATTAGTATCGGAAGAAGGTGAACCTAATTCTTGCACCCTGTAAAAATGGATAAGATCAGCTATATTCTAATAATCTAATTTTTGCTATTGTTACATTTTGCCTGAGCAATGCCAGCTCATCTGCTAGTATTAAAATAATTTCATAGAAATGTTTCACATAAATAAATATTTAAATTTAAAAGAATTTTTGAAAATATACAAAATTAGTTTTCAAATTAAAAGACATTTACAGATTCCAATTTTCAAGGTTTAAAAAATAAAAAATCTTTTTTTATAAAAGTATGCCTTCTGTTTCTCTATACAAAAATATTTTTGTTTTACAATATATAAATGATAAATAATATTAGATCACATCATTATACTGACATTACAAGTAAGTATTGATAAATACTGTATTTACTCACATATAAGACAAGGTTTTCATTCATTTTTCACTGTGTCAAAAACTTAGATCGTCCTATAGTGAAGGATTATTTGCATTTTTGCAATAATTTTTGTGAACCATGTATAGTTCATGCTGCCATTATAGGTCTACAGTCTATTTATCATAAGTTGGCACCTACTGTAAACAAACTAAGATACACCCACGTTTGTTTATTGGTTGGAACCTACATCCATCAATTGAAAACCACATTGCATCTCATTTGTCCACAGAAAATAGTTTCTCATTACTTATAAAATCATTAATGAAATACTAGTCACTTAGCAATGATTATAAATTAGTCATGTCATATTTGTTAAGTTGTTATTTTTTAATGAATATTAGCACATTCTAAATCATTAAAAATAAACTTTTTTCAGTCATGCACATTATAGTGTTTTGGTTTTGTTTTCCATTCATCACATATTAANAGGATAGTTATGAATAATTGCTTATGAACTTTTTTTCACTTTTCAATTTATTATATTAAAAATTATATTTTGGTTGACTATAATTTAATTTACAAGTTAGTTAAAGCCGCACCAGACTTTTTAATGAATGATAAATTGTTGGATCTGCCCAATTTCGTGCTAAGTCAACTCTCGCGACATATTTTTTTTTCATTCGTTGTCGTGACAAAGACATACTCTACATATTATCTATCGCCTGTAGAGTAAGAAAAAATAATCAAATTTTAATGAAAATCTTCTATTAGAGTTACCCCAGATGACGTAATATTTCAAAGTGTTGGTAACTGGCAATTCTCCCGAATGATGTAATTCGTTAGCATCATCGTTGCCAGTCTGCTTCATTGACGTCATACACCGATGACGTTTTGATATAACGAAGTCATCAGTTTTAAGCGTTGAAAATTTTCCAAAACGTAAATTAAAACTGAAAGATAGCAAATAAAATATTAAAAACAATTATTATAACCTTTAAAAGATTTTAATTTATTTATTTAAACATCGCTTCGCTGCATGGTATAAGTCTTTATTACCTTATCTATAAATTTATTCGACATCATAAACATTAATCACTTTTGCGATACTAAACATTCATGACGTCTATATAACTTATAAAACATAATAAAAATTCATTAGCTAAAATTTCTTTTAAAAATGTTACTATGTAATAAATTTTTTTAACATAAGGAATATTCACCAATTAATAATTACTTTACATTGTTACGTCATAACATTAATTACCGTATCATTTAATAATTGCTACAGTTAACAATAATACTATAATTAATGCAGAGATAATAATATTACAATTACGAGTTACACCAAAGTCATTAATTTGCATATATCAGAATTGAAATGGGTATTAAAAATACTAAACGAAAACATATTTTTGCATTGAAATGAAAAGAGATATGAATATTTCTATATAGATATTGTATATATAATTTTTTATATCTATGATAGTGTTAGTATAGGAAAAAAAATGTTGATAAGTAGACCGTGATACAAATTACCAGAGGCTGAATATATTATAGTCTCTTTTATATAAAATTTATTTATCTATTTTTATGTTGTATTATTCTTTAGTTCAATCTCATCTTTTACGTTTCGAGCAGATAAGAAGAAATTTTAATACAATTATTCTCAAAATAGATGATCAGATGCTTCATTAGTCAATTAGAAAGCATCACATTGTTGCATGTTTTCAACATTTCACTGTATATAAACACCAAGAATAATAAAGTTACATTTCTTTACATATATAATGAAATTAAGTATTAATAAAATTATGATAAAAATGTAAATTTTTATCATAATTTTATCACATTAAAAACTCGAAATTTAAAACAAATTTCTTTCGTGAAACTCATTAATTTAACTTATATTTGAGAAAGTTTTATTTACGCTATTAAGAAACAGAAAATTATTATAGATATTATAAATGTGCTTATATAGAAAGAGGGGGAAAAAGTAATTACTAAGGATTAAGAAATTAGAAAATAATAGACCTAAAACTGATATATCTGATCTGAACTGAATGGTATTCTTCTTACAGCCTTATGGTAACGATAATAGATAGTCAAAAGGCAACTCAATTTCTCAGAAGCTCACCTGAGACAAATCGATTAGTTAAGCTTCTTGATTAGGTCGTTGGAACTTTTAGCGATATCTATTGTCGTCATAAAGTAGAACACGATACTAAACTAGATTTTCTTTTAGAATAGCCTAAAGTGAAGAAATCCTTTAAAAAAAAATTGACTACTTTAAAATATATTAAAGCTTAATATTAGTTAACATACGCTTAAACATTCTCAAAATATTATTTTTCACTTTTTAATATTCTTTCAACAAAAAATTCTCATTAACTTAAATCTATAGATCCTTGCAGAAACACAACAGTATAATCTTCACGGATCATTGCTGTTCTGATGACAGAAAAACTTTTTTTTCTATCTCAAATTTTTTCTGTTTGATAATGAAAAAAAAATTAACATTTAACTAAACATTTCTTTTACTAAATTCTTACAAATTAATTTTTTTAAGAGTAACAGTTAATGCATATTAATTTAAGTTTTATTTTATTGTAATAAATTTAGCATTAATAATATTTTACAATTTTAAAATACAATTTAAAATTTTGTTAAACAAGTAAGGAAATTGTTCATGTTATCATTAATAAATGATTACATCAGAATATTATTTTAATATTGTACTCTGATGTAATAATTTAATACATATCGAAATTTATTTTTTTAAATTAATTAATTAATTTTTTAACACAATATGATAGCGTATATTAAATTTTACATAGGATAGTTGTGAATAATTGCTTATGAACTTTTTTTCACTTTTCAATTTATTATATTAAAAATTATATTTTGGTTGACTATAATTTAATTTACAAGTTAGTTAAAGCCGCACCAGACTTTTTAATGAATGATAAATTGTTGGATCTGCCCAATTTCGTGCTAAGTCAACTCTCGCGACATTTTTTTTTTTCATTCGTTGTCGTGACAAAGACATACTCTACATATTATCTATCGCCTGTAGAGTAAGAAAAAATAATCAAATTTTAATGAAAATCTTCTATTAGAGTTACCCTAGATGACGTAATATTTCAAAGTGTTGGTAACTGGCAATTCTCCCGAATGATGTAATTCGTTAGCATCATCGTTGCCAGTCTGCTTCATTGACGTCATACACCGATGACGTTTTGATATAACGAAGTCATCAGTTTTAAGCGTTGAAAATTCTCCAAAACGTAAATTAAAACTGAAAGATAGCAAATAAAATATTAAAAACAATTATTATAACCTTTAAAAGATTTTAATTTATTTATTTAAACATCGCTTCGCTGCATGGTATAAGTCTTTATTACCTTATCTATAAATTTATTCGACATCATAAACATTAATCACTTTTGCGATACTAAACATTCATGACGTCTATATAACTTATAAAACATAATAAAAATTCATTAGCTAAAATTTCTTTTAAAAATGTTACTATGTAATAAATTTTTTTAACATAAGGAATATTCACCAATTAATAATTACTTTACATTGTTACGTCATAACATTAATTACCGTATCATTTAATAATTGCTACAGTTAACAATAATACTATAATTAATGCAGAGATAATAATATTACAATTACGAGTTACACCAAAGTCATTAATTTGCATATATCAGAATTGAAATGGGTATTAAAAATACTAAACGAAAACATATTTTTGCATTGAAATGAAAAGAGATATGAATATTTCTATATAGATATTGTATATATAATT